TGCAGGGAAGAGGCTGGGAAGCACCAGGAACACATTTGGCCAAATGGTGCAGGGTACATGCCTCCACTGCAGGCGGAAGGATACCCAGAGAATAAGGGTGAGGGTTGGTTTGATGCTGCAGCCTGGGTGATGGCAGTCAGCCGGGGGGATGTATCCACTCGCTTCCTGGCTCCGCATGGGCAGAATTCCCTGTGACTTTGGTGGGAAATGGACATGGCTCTATCCTGTGGTGATTAATGATTCTTCAGCTTTGTTTGCAGCCATGACATCCTAAGTGCTGTACAAACACTGAAGAAAGCCAAGCCCTCAGCCCAGGTAACTCACGCCCTGGAAAGGCAAACAGAAAAGGTAAACATGGGAAGCACTGTGAAGAGCAGCTGGGGAAGCTGCATAGGAATGGGACAAAGACCAGGATGTCCCAGAGCACCAGGCCTAAGTCAGCGTTGTTCCTCTGGTGCAGTGCTGAGCCCTCACACAGAATCCCATCACAAATACGACCACATGTTGTGGTGACACATGAACAAATCAGGAAACTTGCATTTGCCCCGAGCTGAAGCATCACACCAAACCCTGCTGCCATGGCACAGACGTCACAGCAGCCTGCCCTGGGTGCAGTGCAGAGCAGTATTCCCTCCTGCAGCCCACCCAGCTACTCCCAGCCACTGCTGCTTGTGGAGGTCCAGCAACATTCTCTCTTCTGCTATATGAACTTTGGACCGTATTCAAAATCATAAAAAGGAGCAAGCTCTTGCAGGCAGGCTATTGTATCATACACACTGAGGCCTAACCAAGTCCATAGTGCAACCTGGTCAAACAGCCCTTATTATACTGCTTTTATAACATACAAATATTTGCCTTTGTGCTTTCCATCAGTAAGAATGATCCATTCTCAGAGCAGCTGCTTTTCTGTGCAGGCAATGCCAACCTTAAACCAGAGGGTGAGCAGCTGCAGCAGAAGTCAGCAGCAGCCAGCAAGTTTCCTTCCATGGAAAGGAAGGGGACAGCCTATGCAAGAAGCACATTTGCAGCAGAGGGCATGATGAACCATCTGCATTTCCCTCTTCTTCCCTCTGTCTGCCTCCAGTAAGCTAAACCAGCCCCTAAAGCAACCCCCTCCTCCAGGCATCCAGCAACCTTCACACTGCAGAGGAGCCCTGATGGAAGGAGGTCTGGATTCTGTGGTAACAGGATGTGGTGGCAGGAACCCTCCTGACTCTGGTCACCGCAAACACCTCCTGGAAACCCAGTCATACAGACAGATGCAGGACGAGGACATCCTTGCAACAGGGGTTACCTTTCATTGTGTTTACACCTGTACCTCATAGAGCAGTGTTTTTCACCACAAGGGACTGATGGATAAATGAGGCAGAGTGACTCAAATACGATTCCTCTAAATATCATTAAAGTACAAATGCCAGAGGGCACCAATTTGAGGTTTTGTGATTTTCTAGGCAGTAGTTACGCACACATCCCTTTTACGGTCTGCACTGTCTCTTGCAGAGTGGTCAGATTACATCCCACTTTTCTGAGCTTGAGGGTGCTCGGGATGACATCAACAGGCAATAGAAACAGATCCTTTGGGCCACAGTTAAATCTCTCTGATTGATCTGCTTTTTCTTGCTCTGTTTTCCTTCTGGCACAGTATGAAGAAAGCCCTGCACCATAAATGATGTCAGTCAGTGCCCTAGAGATGGATGATGAGCTTTGAATTCTATTGACTTCTGAAATGTGGTGAAGGTTTGTTTTGGTCCCATTTGTGGGAAAGAAGAAATTACATCAGGAAGGTGACACTTAACATGAACAGAGAAGTGTCAGAGGTTTCTTAAGTGTATATATTGCTTTTATATGAGATTTTTTACATGTGCTGGGGAAAACTGCAAAGCAAGGAAAACTTTCGCATTTTGCTTGCAAGAACCATACAAATTCAAGGGCACTTTGACACTTGAACTGGCTGAATTACAGTAACTTTGAAACCCATGCTGTTAACAACAGAGTAAATACAGGAGTTTAGATTAGATATTGTAGAAGTTCTGCTCTACCGAGTAATTCCTTTGGCCTTGATCAGAGCAGGAATACTGGACCAGGAGAGCCCACGATATAAGACAGCATGGACATTTTTAAGCTCTTCACCCCCCTCCCTCATCATAAAGAGTGTGTATTTTAGGAAGTTAAAAGTAATCTTTACTTTGGCCAAATCCTTTCTATCTTACAAAGAATTCCAGATGCTTTGAGTGAGCCAACTTGCCCTATAAAGTAAATATTACGGAGTAGTGGAAGAACCCATCCCATTGCCACAGAGGGGAAGAGGAGTCCTTGTCATTAAACCAGATAACTGGTTTATTGCATATTTGCTAATGCACACTCCCACAGGCTTGAACTCCCATCTGACAGAAACATTTATGCTCTTCACCAGTGCTAAGCAAGGAAAGGGATGTGACTGCTCTGCACAAAGAAGCTGAGCAGATGGTGCCTCAGGAAGCAAACCCCCCGTGTCCTCTGACAGGCACCCAAGACAAACCACTTGGAAAGATCATCTTGTGGCTGAAGCACAAGACAAGGAGGGCTGAGCCTTGCTCCCAGCAGAGCTGCTCCACGCTCAGTGTGTGACCCAGAGCAAGTCACGAATTCTCTGTTCCTGTTTCCTCCTTGGTGATATGACGATGATCATGCCTATTCTCAGCAGAACTGTGAGTATTCATTAACTTACATTTCCAAGAGTTTCTCATTCTTTGCAGGAAATACGTTGCAAATATCACTGCCCTACCACTATGCCACCATATTATCAACTCTAAACTAACAAGTGCATCATACAAACTTCACCCCTTCCACACTTACTCTCACAATATGCTCCATCAGAAAACAGCGCTCACAAGAAAGCACTGTTCAGATCAGTCAAACAAAGGAGAACCTGAAAGGCTGGCTGGGAGTAGCATCTCTCCAGGCTTGCCTTGCAGGTTATTAGAATACAGGATATTAGATCAATGGGTTCTTTGACAAAGTACTGCTGCTTGTCCAAAGTGTTGGCTATGGAAAGTTGTGTCCTGTGCAACCACTTACAGACTCGGAATTAAGCACATGTTGAACGCAGTGGAAAGTCTTTACAGATCAGCCCCAAATAAATACAAGTTCCCTGTTTTGCATCCTCTGAAAAGCTATGAAACAAGAGGTGAGAAATAATGAGGAGCTCCTCCTGATCTCCTGGGTTCTACCTCAGAGTACCCAAAACATGCTGGGAGCTACAGGATGGAAATCTGAATTTCCAAGGTTTGGTCAAGAGTTGAGTAGGTTCCAGGCAGTAAGGAGATTCCAAAGGGAACAACTGCCCAAACCCAAATGGCTCCAGAAGGAAGCAAACTGCAACAGTTAGTGACCTGAAGAAAAGGTATGAAGAACACTGAGGTCTGCTCATCACACTGCACTGATCACAGTTGTGAACACCAGGGCTGTGTATCAGGAAGACTGATACAGCAGATACTGAGGAACAGGACAAACCACCTGAAAGCTATGATGTAACTTCACTTGTGAATCATGTGGGCTCATTCACATACATATGGAGGGCACCTGGAAAGCAGCAATTGAAGAGAAGCCTAAGGAGGGAAGATGGTCAGAACTAAACATATGTTTTAGAGGGGGAAAAAAGGCCTGTGTGGTTTTAGGCAACATATTTAGGAGCAGGGATCCAGGGGAAGGGCTGTCAGGACTATGCGGTCAGATATCAAATTGTAAGCTGTAGACACCAGAGGGTTTTTGTTTTGGTTTGTTTCCTTAACTTGTGTTTTCATGAAGCTGCACCTTGTTCTCAGGGAACGCAGCCATGGCCCAGTTATGGCACTGAGCGAGGGAGGCACTTAAAGTGACACAGCTGATCAAGACTGATGAGGCAGAGAGAAATACTAGATGTTCAAATGAAAGACATGCAAATGGTAGCGAGAGTGCCAAACGTTGATTAATGGAGGAAATAAAGTGTCTGTAGGATTTGCAGACAGTCTGCCAGTCTAGAAGGGTCTAAATAACCTGAAGAGAGAGGAGTCATTTTTAAGATGTACAATTAGAAAGAGCAAAGCAAGATTCTGTTTTCAGAATCTGAACTGCTGGAGGAAACCCAACATGTGCCACTCATGAGACTCAGCAAGAGCTGGCGGTAGACAGCAGTCTTTCTGAAGACAGGGGAAGACCAGCCATGGTGCCAACCGTAAAGCACGCTGACCATTAGCCACCTGGCACTGCATGAAGCCGCAAAACAAGCACGCTCTGTTTGCAAACAGCCAAAGAGCCAAACCTTGCTTTGTTCTTTCCCCTCCAGAGGAAAGGGCTGTTCCTGTGGGGCCACTGACCTGGGGCTGGGGCTTGGCTCCCAGCTCGGTCCTGAGCGACACGTGAACCTCCAAGAGGGTTACAGAGCAGATCTGGGCCTCAGTGTTTCGGGGGGTCACAACACAGTCCCTGCTCTTGGGGCTGCACAGGGGTGCCTGCACTGGGAATGGTGGGGTGGTCAGAGCACGAGGAACGCTGGAAAGCTGCAGCGCGGCTCATCCTACATCGGAGGAACAAGAGTGCTCACGCTTTCTTGTATCCATCTGTTTGGTAGGGTGGAGTCTGCCTTAGTTTTACTCCACATGCAAATTATATCCCTCAGCGACCTCACTGCAAACGTTTTCTGGCTTCTCACACCCTTCCCTGGGCAGGAGCGGGCTGCTTTCCCCGCAGATCCTCCGACTTCCTTTGGAACTTTGGGTTTGGGATATTTCGATTTTAGAGAAGGGCGGGAAGGCTGAGACCGGCCAAGCTGCTGGGGAAAACAAAACCAAAACCCAGCCAAGCAGGAGGCAGGAGAAGCCAGGCGAAGCTGCTGTGCTGACACCGCTCTCGCAGTGCCGCAGGGGCCAGATGCCGCGGGATCCGGCTTCGCCACCTCCTCCGAGCGAAGTAACAAACCCCCCGGGCTGTGATGCGACACCCGCCTCCCCCTGCTCCCGCTCACCCTGGCAGCGCACCCTTACCTGCTTGCCAGCAGCAGCGAGGCACAGGAGAAGGAGCCAGCGGCCTGACGGGACGGGCATGTCTGGGTGTCCGTCTCTGCCTCCTCCTGTGGCTCCTTTTCCTGCCACAGAAGAGAAACTAGATCCTTCCAGCCAAGCCCCGGCGCCCCAGCAGCAGAGCGAGGCACATTTGAGCCAGTTACTTCTCTTTCTTCCTTTCCTTCCTCTCAGCTACACGAGGGGAGAAGAGAGAAGAAGAAGGAGGATAAAAAAAGTGCCTGGCTGCAGTTCCCACAGCATTTCCTCAGCCCTGACATGCAGGCTTCCCCCCCGCCTTCTTGTCCCTCCCTTTCCCTTCTCCACCCCCTTTTACAAGAAGTTTAGTCACCATGCCCATGTCCCTCCTCCCGCTGATGGAGACGGCTTTCCCGGTCCTTCTCAGCAGGGATACCCATCCATCTACCTCCCACCTGCTGTGCCTTCCCATCCCAGCCTTCCTCTTACCTGGCACCATCCCTCACCCTCCATCTGCCTGCAACCACTGCCTTCTCCCCACCACTTCTGGATATCGCCATACGCTGTTAGAGGACATCCCGGGCCTCGGGCAGCTTCCCACCTCACTCTTCAATCCACCCTGGTGCAACCGCCCTCTTGCTGGCTCCTGCCTCTGGCATGGGGAAAGCCTCCTATCCTGTCCCATGATCTATCCCATCCCTGCTCCCATGCAAGAGCCCTGCAAGTGGCAGCCTTGGCATTCTGGCACAGCTCGAGGCCTCCCTGCATCCTGTGCTTCGGCTGATGGCCAGAGCTGGAGGGTGGGATTGCTTCCAGGGAGAAGAAAAGTGGAAGACGAGCTTTGAGAGCTCTTCTCAAACACTACACATGGATGGGCCCAGTCCCTGCAACACAACGTGGGGCAGTGCAGAGCAGCCTCCTGACCCCCAGAACACATTCATCACCAACACCACTGACCCAGCAGCAGCTGCCTGTGCTGTTCAAGCCTGGGCACAGCACACAATGCCCCTTGTCTCGCAAAGGGAGCGGGAACCCTCTGTGGTAGGGCAGGACAGGGCAGTGCTGCTTGACAGCACCGATCTAATGGGGGCTGAGGATCTGGCAGAGCCAGCCATGGCATTACACCACCTTCCCTGCCTCCTGTGCTCACATGCCACTGTGAAATGAGCCAGGAGTGTGCTTGACTTCAACAAAAAAGGAAGCTGTTCTTTCACTTGTGTATTTAGATTTAACCCTTGACCAGGAAAAAAAACAGTTACAAGTTGCTCTACACTTGCAAATAAACAAATAAATGTGAAAGATTAAGAGAATATTAAAAACCAATAAAATCCTTTACCTGTGTTGCTGTGGTGGGATTTCTGCACAGAGGAGTGACCCTCAGAGCCTTGGAGCCATGACCTTCACTTCACCTCTACATGGTTTCCAGGTGCCATAGAGCCAGACCCTTTCAATCTTCCTAAATTTCCTTTCAGTAGCTAACACCTGCAAGCGTTGGGCCCTGCAAGCTGCTGAGACCTGTGCTCAGACAGGTCTCAGTGCCCACATTTCCTCATGGTGGCCCCTACATGGGTTTGATGCTCTGCAATGGGCTATGGGGCAAAATGTCTCTGATGTGCTGGCTTAGGGCCAGCACCTACTCCTGCTGCACATTCGCCTCAAGAAGAGCTAGGGCCAGTGACATGCTGGTGGGGTTTAGCAAGCCACAGAGCTTGTGATTGCAGTGTCAGAGCCCTGTTGATGTGCCAGATGAGCTGGTGTTCCACCACTCTTGGGCTGGACAGGCTACAGCTTTAGTACTGAACAGAAACACTGTTGGGAATGAGAGGTGGGAGGGATGACCATGGCACCCAGCTTGCCGGTAGGCAACATGTGCACAGCCAGCTTCACTGTGGGCTTTGCGAGGTAAGGGTCATGTATGTTGTCGTGCCTTACTCACGGCAGCAGCGGTATTCCCCATCGGTCCTACAAGCAGCTTGGCAAGATGTGGGGCAATGCTGGGTGGAGACTCTTCTGCCAGAGCCACATTCATCCACTGCTGACAACCCACAGCCCTGTGCTGGCCAGGGTGTTATAGAATGTTCGTATTTAAGGTACAAGGAAATGTTTCTTTTCAAACAGAACAGCCTGTTGAGCCTGTTCCCCTTTTCATGTTCAGCACAATACCAAGGCCATAGGCTATGCTTATTTACCAGCTGCTCATTCTAACCACAGATTTACAGGAGCAAACTCACACTGCCATGAGCAGTTAGATGTGTTATTGGCTCGCTTTAAAGGTGTTGAGTAAAGGCTTTGGAGGTGTTTAGTAAAGCCAAGCCCTGATCAGCCCAGGGGAGCTCCAGACGGTTCAGTATTGCATGCTAGCTCCATCACTGTTGCATTCTCACTCCTGATCCTGCCTACAGTATTTCATGTTTAGGCTGAAATCTCTCTCCTTTTCTACCACTATGTGAAAACAGCCTCTTTCTGAAAGCTCAGACATTTCCCTCCGAGCTGAACTTTATGTTTCGAGCCAAACCAGCAAAAGCCACTACTGGGTGCTTTACATTCTTAATTATGTATCTCAGTAGGCTGTTAGAAACTGAAATGTGAATGCTAGAAAATATGAACTAGGGAACGCATAGGAGAAAGTGCTGTCAATGCTCTTGCATTTATCGCATGTATCATTCTATGCAGCACAAGTAAAACCTAAATTACACCAAAACTGCTTTGTCGGCCTTTTGTATAGAGTAGGTTTTTTCTATAATACTTTTCTTCAGCTGCCTTTGCCAAGCACCTATTTTGAATAAAACCAAAATGCTTGAAATCTGAAAGCTCTAAACTTACAGTGGTGTTCAGGTGCCTCCTGTTTCCGTTCACCACTGCGGCACGCAAAGCCTCAACTGCACTGGCCTTCGGGATGCTGTTTCTAAAGAAGAGACATGGAAAACCACGTGCAGCCTCAGAGGTGCCACGCGATGGAAACAGCTCCCTGGGTAACAGCAGGATCCCTTCCTTGGTGAAGCCTGCCACGGGAAGCAAACTGAGCATGGCTGACTGCTTAGTAGGGCTGTGGTCAGTACGGATGTCTTCTTGCCTCCTTCCTGGAGAGAGAAAAATGGACATTACGGACTAAACATCGTACAAGAAGTACGGCAGTGCAAAACTGCAAGTTCTGGAACTGTCTGAAAATAGAACCACTTTGTGCCTCTCTTCTGGAGCCTGAATAAACAATGACACACTCCTCCCCTGCCCCTAACCTGCACAAAGCCCCTAACCGCTCACGATGCTCCGTTTCCCCAGGAGGGAGAACAGGAGGCTGCCTGTTAATCCTGGGTATTCAAATGATGTGAAGGAAACCTGGGCAGAGAAGCAAAACTGAAAAGTATGTGGTTGCATCCCAGGATGCCTTCCTTTCACACTGTGCAGGAAGGCTGTGATGGAGCTCCATCCTCCCACCTCTCACGTCCTGTTGAGGGATGGGGGTGAGAGGAGGGGTTTTATTGAATACAGATCAATATTTTTCTCCTGTTAGACGCTGTGAAGGTTGGTTAAAGTTTTGGACTCTGAACTAAACACAGGCTTTGTAAATATGAGCACCTGTCTCTCGGCAGGTGAGGGAGAAACCCAATGCAAAGTTAGAGCTGCAGGAAGGAGCCCTCTAAAACAGGGAGATCCCTGGGAGGCAGGTGGGTCACAGCAAAGCTCCTGCAGTAGCAGCAACCCAGGCACAGAGCTCTCTGTGGGGGCAGGGAGAAGGGCTGCCTCCAGCTGCTTCATCACTTGCTGTAGGGAGAGGGACCTACTGTATGACCCAGTATGTGGAGCTTTCTGCACTGGGCTAAAGAGAAAAAAGGTAGAAAAGTATCTGTGCACTTTTAGTACAGAGGGCTCTAATTTTATTTCTAGCTATTAAAATAATCCATTAAAAAGACATTAAAATCTATTCTTTACAATAAGAAAATCATACACAAAACCATGGCACCAACCTGAAACTGCTTTCTTCCTGTGAAACCCAAGTTTCCATAGCAGACTATTGCCCAATCTCCCCGAGATTCTCAAACGCACACATTTTTCATGACAGAGCAACTATAACAACGCTCCTGTCGCACTGGTGTGGCTTACACACCTTTTACAATCCCACAGAACTGTACCAGTGCTGAATGCCTGTCAAGACCCTGAAGTTTGCAGCATTCAGAAGGTAAAAGCTCACAACCAGCCACCACTAATGTGTCAAATGTTTGAAGTATGTACAAGCGTGCAGTGAGCCTACAGGTTATCGCCCGCCGCTGTGGCAGTAACAATGCCTACATGCTTCTGGAAGGAAATGCAAAATTGTGGTGAGTTTTTAACTTGGAGTATTTGTTCGTGCTTGTAAGAGAGATCAACCCGATGACCTCCGAGACTTACGTCGTATGTTCATCCTTAGGACAAGAGCCATGCTGGCACAAACTGGGGAGCTTGTGCTGCCCAGGACACACCTCAAGCTCTGTCCTGCCTGGAGATGAGTGTTTTAGGCTGGCAAACATCCACCAACCCCTCACTCAGCAGGATAACTGAGACCATAACTCCTCAAGCGCCATTCAACACCCTGTTTCCAGTTCCACAGAACCAGCCTGTCATTTTATCTACAAGCACACTTAATCTTGAGCGCCTTTGAAAACTCACCAGAGTAATGAGATGACTCATACTAAGATCAATAGAGAGCATTCATCCCTCAGCAAAGGATCTAATCTAAACAAAACCTTATTGCCTATTAAACACTGCAGCTGCTTCTTCCCTATCCGCACTTCCCCATCCCTTTACAGCATATTTAAAGGGAAGGTGAACACACCTGGCAGAACGACACAAAGGATCCTACAAGGCACGTACATATTTGCTGCTGCAACTTCAGCAGATCTCCATCGCAGTGCCTCCACCTCAGCTGTAACTGAGGCTGAAGAGGTTTCTCAGGTTTTGGAGAATGGGAAAAATCTCCATTAAAGCACAGGGCAAACAGCAGCAGCACAAGAGTACAATCACTGGTTTTGGAATGGCAATATTAAAATATACTGCAAACAGCCCTATTTGTATACATGCAATATTTAAATGGTAGAACGAAAAAGGTATCTACCTCCGTGGGATACAAAAGCTGACAGTTCGGGTGCAGACCAGCCTGAAATATGAGGAATAAGGGATGTGGTGAGGAGCACATGTGATACCAGTGCTGGGAAAGGAACCAGACTGACCAACCACTGTCACGGTGTCAGCCCTTTAAGCCAGCTTCCAAGTCACCTTTTCAAGTCACAGACTTCTACAGTAGAACTGCTCATGCTCCAAGTTTCTAGGAACTAGACATCTTCAGTCCAGGAAGTCTTTCACTACCTTGGAAGTGAGCTGGAAGCTCAAGCTCAGCATGTAGTGAAGGTCCCCCAAAGATGCAGGCTGTTTGCCACTGACTTGCCCATTACAAACTCTACAAGCAGAACCACCTTTTCTTACAGCTTACCTGTAAGCATGAAACCTAAAGA